CAAAATGCTTATCCCACAAGAGTTGACATGATGTTCAGGGATTTCGTCATTGATAGTTATACAACCGTTTTTAAGCTGATTGCCTGATGATGGGAGTGCTCTGGTTTGGCCATTTCCTCGCCAGACTGCTGTGTTTCTATTTAGCTCATTCACATTATTTTTATTATTCAGAAATGTTCTATTAGCTCCAGTAGCATCTGCCACGTTGTCTTCCGAGATATTTTGATTATTTCGATTAGAGAAGCAATCACGTGAGAGATGTCCCGGCTTTCCACAGTTAAAGCAGGTAATTTCCTTTCGAGGTGTAAAATTAGTATTACGTTGAGAGAATTGCTGGACAGAAGGTTTAGACTGGAAGTTAATATGTCGAGTCGCTTTCTGTGTCGATTCTGCTCTAGCTGCCAGAGAAACGAAACTGTCAAAACTCATTCCGTCTTGTCGAGCTATTTCAAGATTGAGTGCCAGGTTTGAATCACCAATGCTTCTTATTAGATGTTTTATTGAATATTCATCTAATAAATTATTTGTCATCCCTGGGTAAGCTCGTTTGACTAGTGATGCAATTCTATTGGCAAGTGAATCGATATTTTCATTCTCCCGTCTTTTAACACCAGACATAAGTTCGTCGAAAGCACAAATTTCTTTTGTGTCTGTCGTTCAAGAATACGAAACATTTCGCGTCGAACTGATGAATAAATAAAAGGGGAATTTCCTAAAGCAGTATTGAAAGCTCTTTCCGCTCTTCCACTTATTTTAGACTCCAAAGCTTTTAATCGCATAACATCTGATATCCCTTCAGTAGCAGAATCAAATTTTTTGAAGAATGTTTTAATTTGATCGACACCTTCAGGACCTTTCAAATCCGGAATTTTGTCTAGTGCCCACGACAGAGACATTCTATCAAAACTGTGCATGAACCCAGCAAAATCAGTTGTGGGTCTTTGACTGTTTTCAGTATTGATTGGTGGCTGCGCCACTTGTGTAACAGACTGTTGGAAATTTTGTTGAGGCTGAGCTTGGTGAACCGAGTTCATTTGAGGCGGAAAATTTTGTGGATTATTCGTCGGCATTTGTGGGTACTGGATGAACTGTGGGGGATACATGGGCATTAACATAGGCATTTGCATTTGACAATTTGGAAATTGTGTATACATTTGCTGATTTGCAAACTGCTGAGTCATAACAGGCATATTCGGAATCTGGTAAGGAAAACAAACGTTCTGTGCCGTGTGTGGTACATTGTTTTGTGCTGGAGAGGTTTGAGTTTCTATCGTTCTCAGAACATTTTCTCCCCTTTCACTTTCCACATCAAGAATATCGTCCATTCCTGAATTTTCAATATTAGAAGTTGGATTTTCAAAAGCTTCTTTTTCCATAGCTTTATCCTTTGCCCTACTTCTTGTTAAAACAGGAGAACAGTTTATCATTCAATTTCTTTATAGATTACAATTTTGTTTATGCTCGCCTAGAGCCTTTGATGAGTCACAAAACAAAAATCAATTCAAACAATTTTCAAAATTGTGCCCGCCTAGGGTCTTTTTGTTGAGTCAATTTGTTTGCAGCAATTGAATCGATTGCCTGCCAAGGTCAAACAAAGTTTAAAAATTTCTCTTTCTTGTTTGTTTCTTTTTTTTCACCCACCTAGGGTCTTTTGCAGATTTTAAAAAAAAAGAATCGATTTTTCAACCGCCTAGGGTTTTTGTTGAAGAAAAAATAAATTAAAGTTTTCAAGCTCGCCTAGAGCAAAACTTTCTAAAATTTAAAATTTTAAGTCGAAGCTAGCTCGCCTAGAGCTTTTAGATACTCGCCTAGAGCTCTAAATTCAAAAAAAAATTAAAAAAATGTTGTTGCTCGCCTAGAGCCTTCAAATCAAAAAAATTCAAAGTCGATCTCGAGACCGTTGAAAAATTTAAGAAAATTTTTCTTCCGCAGGAGCGCCACGTGAGAAATAAAAGAGCTTTCTCTTAATTACTTCTTTTTATTTTAACCCTTCTTTAAATCAATTCAAGTCCAAATACGAATCAATATTTATTTCAATTAAAGGGGCAATACAATTTCCACAAATAAATTAAACGAAATAAAATAAAAGGGGGAACACCACTCAAAGAATAAATAACAAAAATGAACAGAATGAACGGAATGAACAATTTTGGGGAGAGAGAATTTTCTTTTATAGGAACATAAAAAGGGATACAATGTCATTTATTTATTTAAATTAAAATTAAAGTCAAAAGAGTCTGGGCGTCACCACAGTACATACTAGCCCGGCTAGTCCGTGATACTTTTGATAACCTATGTATTTTATTCATGCACTCATCAAACTTAGAAAATCTCAGACATATTCTGAACATAACAAAAACTTATTTCTATTAATGAAAGAATAATTTGTTCGATCATTTTGTTTTGTTAATTATAATTTAATCTTTAACTGAACTTAAATACATAATATAGTTTTCAACGAAATTCTCATCCCTTTACTTTTTTCTAAAATATTTAGGTGAACTTTCTTTAAAATTTTTTAAAATATTTTTATTTTACAAACCTTTTGTATTTTTTCTAAATTTGTAATTCTCCCTTCATGTGTTTTTAATTCATTCATTTCAGTTTCTAACAATGAGAAACGTGCAAGTACACCTTCATTATTATTTTTATTTTTATTAAATCCATTAATCCCATAAATTCCAAAAATTTGATTTTCCAAAGTTGTCAAGCGTTTCTGAGTTTGAACTATTGAATTCTATATTTTAATTAATTATATGAGAAAATTTTAAGCATTACAAATTTAAATAATTTTTTGCGAATTTTTAAAATTTTGAATAATTACCCTAGTTAATTATTGTTTCTAACATCCGTTGGAGGGCGTAATTATTCCAATTGAGTGCGGGTAATTAATTGAGGTTTGAAATTTGAACGTTTATTAGGGTATTTGATGGGTGGGAGAAATTATTTTTTCAATCTATTGCACCCAAAAAAATAAGCGGAGAAAGAGAATGTAGTATGTAGAAAGTAAAAATTGAAAAATACTTCTTTGAAAATTATTCAATTTTACAAAATGCCGGTCGAATTCCAAAGTTCGAATATTATTCGATAGAATATCGATGTTTATTGGATCTATGGCGTGAGCAAGTGTGAATGTCTTGCAAATGAGATCCGACCTGTTACGACCCGAGGTGTCCGAGATTTAACTAATGTCAACAAGCACAACAATAACAATTTATCACACTTAGAAATGTACAATGTGTAGGCGAAGGGAATGGGACAGACGAAGGAGATCAGTGACTAGCCCCGCTAGTATGATCCGAATAGACTGACGTTTTCTCTGGCTTTTATAGTAAACGCTTTAAGGGCTGACGCCCATACTCAACACCTCCCCCCTTGAAAAAAAGGTTCGGCTTTCACTTAAAGCCGAAGCTTTACAACTTTTAACATTCACTATAGCTTCCATGCTATCAATACAATTAACACTAAGCCAGAGCGTCTAGTCTCTCACTAACACTCAACTCACAACAAAATACAAAAATGTGGGATGACAAAAGGGCAAAACAAAAAACAAATTAAAATTACAACAATTACAAAATAATCACAAAATTTGTCATCTTATTCCACATTTTTTTTTCTTCTGGCAGCGGTCCTCTACAGTGCATACAACAGCTCCCATCAAGGCAATCGCACGTCCTGAATTGGTCACACTGTTGATCATCACACTGCTTGTCCATAAGCGTTTCACTTTTATTTTTTTTTACTTCACTAATTTATTTTCCTTCACTTATTTCACTTCCATTTTTTTTACACTTCCTATTGCGGCACTACTTTCACTTTTCAATACTGTGCCCAATAATTTCACTAAATTAGATCACTAACAAAATTAAGTGAAGTCAAACTCCACAACACTAACGGTACTGTTAGTGCGCAGTTCGGTGCCGTTTCGCCGTGTACTTTTTAGGATGGCTCGTGGTTGAATACTATCACTTCAATACTACTACTAACTAACCACTCAGAGGATGCATGTTACATCCTGCCTCCTTCAAAGACTCAGGTACACACAACACTTCACTGAACTTACACTATGTGTAGTCTGGGTTGCTTCACTGACTTGCGCTGGAGTAACACTTCAATCACTAATAATACTCACTCCTTAGCGCCTTGAATCACTGCAATTCACTACTATCACATTTCAAAGCTCATTATTTGGTCTTACTCACCCTTAGGCTGCCAAACTTCGCTTTATCCACTATCAACTCAAAGCTCATTATTTGGTCTTACTCACCCTTAGGCTGCCAAACTTGACTTTATTCACTAACAATTCACTTCATTATTTGGTCTTACCCACCTTTTAGGCTGCCAAATTTTTTCACTCTTTTTACACTTTTCCTTTTTCTCAATTTCTGGACTTACATTCTCTTGAATGCCAGACACTTCAAAACTTGATCGGCCAAAATCTGCGCACTTCCAGGACCACTAGGCATTTCAGCCTTAAACTAGGCATTTCAGCCTTAAAATCCAACCATTGGCACTCGCACTGAGTCCTTTTTCGGTCACTACTACTACAGGTCCATGCGCACTAACAATTCACTAAATTCACTTTCGACTCATGCCGATCACTACTACGACGTCTGTCCACTCAAAATCAAAACAATCACTTCACTAATTGCTAAAAGCAATTCACTACACTTCGCCACACTTCACTTTTGTCGACCGCGCCATTGTTACGACCCGAGGTGTCCGAGATTTAACTAATGTCAACAAGCACAACAATAACAATTTATCACACTTAGAAATGTACAATGTGTAGGCGAAGGGAATGGGACAGACGAAGGAGATCAGTGACTAGCCCCGCTAGTATGATCCGAATAGACTGACGTTTTCTCTGGCTTTTATAGTAAACACTTTAAGGGCTGACGCCCATACTCAACACGACCTATAAGGAGATCCGACTAAATTTTTCAAAAACTAACTATGTTTAAAAAGACACCCAAAAAATTTGCACGGAAAAAATAATTTCATTTTTTAATTTCAAAAAAAAAACAAACCAAATTTTTCCCATTATAATCATTCAAAATATCCCAATCAACTTTTTTCAATTGCTTCAAATCATTTTCCAAATTTGTATAATTATTCATTAATTCAGTAAAATAATCAACTTTAGCCATCTTTTTTGTCAAATTACTTAATTCATTTTCCATCTCTTTTATTTTTTCAATTTTAATTTCCAAATGTTCAATTATTTTTTGATTTTGTTCCAAAATTTTTATTTTATTAAACAAATCATCTAAATTCTCAAAATTTGCATTTCCCAATTTTTCATTAAAATGTTGAAATTTTTGAATTTTTAAAGTTAAAGAAAATAAATCTTTTTCAATTTGATCTATCCGATTATTTTTTAAACGAATATTTTCCCAACCAATTGATTTATTTTCCAAAATTTTTATTTTTTCATTTAATTCTTCAAACTTTTCTAATTTTTCTCGATAATATTCTGGAAGTAATGAATTATTATTTTTGTTTTTTAAAACTTCCAAATTATCTTCTAAAGCTTTTAATCTTTGTGGAAATTTGTAATTTAAATTATCTAAAAATATATATTTATTATTTAATTATACGTAGATACAAGCATTTTTTAAAAAAGATTTAATAATCAATCTCAAATTTAGGTATTATCTGAATTTTTAACTCCAAAAATCAGCTTGTTTTGACCTATAATTTTTGACCATTTCGAGCCCAATATCTAAGTCCGGCGTTGCGAGATCTTTGGACCCCATAACTTTAATTTCCTTCGATTCAGCTTAACGAACTCTTTCGAGTGTCATTTAATTTATCCTAATTTATCCATATTCATGTCTTTTTAAAACATTTTAAATGCACGGCCCCATAACAGAAAAGTACCAAAATTTTTTCAAAAATTACTATTTGATAATAATTTATAATATTAAACTTATTTTTTTAATTAACCTTATAATTATTTTTGCTAATTTATTTTTTTTAATAAAAATGTAATTTTATCAATAAAATCTTTTTTCAAACACTGATAAAATATTTAAAAAATTTTTATAATAATCCAACCTAAATTATTAATTTTTTCTTCCAAAATATCCACTTTATTTATTTTTCCATTAATATTATAAAAAACGTTATTTAATTCATTATTTAATTTATTAAAATTTAAATTATTTGATTTCTCTAATTCCTCAATATCCCTTTTATTTAGAGACATTCCCCTTTCCAAATCAGTTAATCGACTAAAGAAAACATCAACATTATTTATATTTTTTAATTGTTCTTCCAATATTTTTATTTTGTTTAAATCCAAAATTAATTTATCATATTTTTTCATATTTTGTTCAAAATCTTCGTATTTTTTCTGTAAATTTTTTGCCGACTTTTCAGCCAATAACGCTCTATTTAAGATCATATCAATATCTATAATTATTTGTAAAAGTTATTTCAGATAAGGCGATAATTGTGGGACTAACTTTCTTGATTTTCGACTAATTCGAATAAATCTTATATTATTCGAAAGCCTCTCCTTTCTTAAAAATTCTCATATTTTGTGTTATGTGGGTATCTCTACTTTTATTGAGTATCTCTACTTTATTGGGTATCTCTACTTTTATCTACAGTTTATCTGAAACCCGAATCCCAGACTTTTCTAAAACAAACCCGATACCCGATCTGAGGAAAATTTTGTAAACCCGACCCGATTTTTATTCCCACCCTGCCAATCCCTGGTTCATGATCAAAAAGATGAATAAGTTCTTCATCTCGAGATCTTTCGAATAATAACAAACATATAAAATTTTGTGTATCACTGATAGAAGGAAATATGTACATATGTACATATTATACCAATAAACTTTACTCTGAATCAACCTACCCGCAATTCTCGTATTATTTTCATTTGAAAGTCGAATAATGTCTAATTTAAATTTTTGTATTTCCTTTTCGTGCAGATTAATTGTTTTTGTATTTAATTCAATATTTTTTAATTTTTTATTTAATTCCTCAATCCCTCCCAATAATCGCCATTCCTTTTCAAATTGTCTTAACCGTTTTGAATTTTCTCCAAAATTATTTATATCGGCATTAAATGATTCTAATCTGTTAAAATTATGTAGACAATATTAAAGAATAGTGCTTAGAAACAGGGCCGGTTTCCCAAAATAAGTAACCTATTTTTCTTTTATTTTTTCCTTCTTTTATCCCTGCAGAAATTTTTTAAATACTGACTTATACTTATACTAATTCAGCTCATCGATCAGAGCATAATGATACCGAAATTGTCCTTTACAAACCTTTGAACTTTGATAACTTGTGAAGGAAAAGCTCGTAAATAAAAAAAATGTCCTATTCGAAGGACCAGGATTATTTGACTGGATTACAATTCCAGTCCCGAAGATTGGGACCCGATCGAAGATTGGACGTTAAGGAAATTAGTCATGTAGGGATTCTGACCTGGTTTTAAAAATTTTCTACTGATAGGGTTTATGATTTCGAGTCGAAAAAAGTCCTGGAGTTCCAAATAACCCTCCCAATCCAAAAAACTTATCCAATATTTATAGAAACCTAAGAATTCTTTCTGTTCTATTATGTAAAGCATTCTCTAATAATCTCAGTTTCGTTATTATATCCTCATTATTTTGTTTCCATTTTTCTTCAAATTTTTGCAATTCTAGCATTGTTGGTTCTTTTCTCTTTAACCTTCTCATTTCTTCAGCTATTTGTTCAAAATTATCCAAACGAATTGAATTTCCTTGAATTGTTTTATCAGCAATTCTGAATCTTTTATTTATTTCTTCCTTTAATTCCTCTAACATTAATTTAAAATTATTTTGTATTTGTTCATTAAATTTGTAAATGTTTTTAATTTCCTCTCCATATTTTTCCAAAATTTCAATTCTTGTATGTATTCTGTTTAATTCGATATTCATTGAACGAAAACTTTTTAGGAATGCATCAATATCATCGAATTTTTGAAGATCATTTGATAATCTTTAATAATTTTTAGAATCATTTTATAGTAACAGATGGAACTTGTATTTGGGAACTGTATTTATTGGTCGTGGAAGTGAGGTCGGGGAAAGTTACCAAAGTTTTTCATTACAAAACAATCTCCTCAATTACTATCTAAAGTATCATCTAGCTTCTCAATTATTCTCCATTTACTGGGAGACTCGACCTTCTATCAAAAACCGGATATCTACTAATTTTAAATTTTCTAGACTTTTTTTCTATGTGCATTGGCCGGCCTTTATCCAGATAACTCCGGTTACTTAAAAATAACGGATCCTGGAAAGATAGGTTACTGGAGAGCTACATCGTTTATCAGCAATTCTAAATCATCTTATCTATATCAGTCCATAAATTTTCTTAAATTTCTGTTTTTTATGTTTCTTATCAGCCTAGGTAAGTGATAAAAATGTGGGAGTATTTCTTTTTAAATTTCCCCACCTTCTAACATTGTCCCAAATATTTATCGTATCATTCTCTATTTTATCAATTCTTGGTCTATTTATTTTTATTTCCCTCTCCATTAAATTAACTTTATCAACAAATTGTTCAATATTGTCAAATTTTCTAATTTCCCATTCTAAAATTCTTATTTTAGTTAAATATTCTTCCAAATTATCAAATTGGTTAACAATAGCTTCATGTCTATCTACCCTTTTTTCTTCCCTTTTTTGTTGCCTTTCCAATGCTTTAACCATTTCAGGAATTCCATCAAGCATTAAAATTCTTTTTTCAGCTTCTAACATCCTTTCACTTATTTGTAAAATAAATGAATTTGTTCCAGTTTTGAAATTATCTAAAATCCAGAGTCTTTCATCTTGATCTTTTACTTGTTTTTCTAAAACAGCAATTCGCGTTGGCAATAACTTTAAATGTACAAAATGTTCTTCAGTCTATTTAATTTTTCACGGATTAATTAAGGAGCGTAGTATAGAGGGCGTTTAATACAAATCCACAGAACCAACTAAGGTTGGCGGATAGTTGGAAATCTTCGGATATCCGTATCCGGTATACGAACCGAAATTTGCGGATATCTGGCCTTTTTCGGATCCGGATATCCGGATCCGCCAACCTTAGAACCAACTTTTCACTTATTACATTACATGAAACAAAATATTTTTCTCTAAAAATATAGTTTGGGTTTCCTATGCAAGATTATTATTTGAAATTATGATCTTGACATTTTACGAAAGAATGAGTTAATGGATATAATAAAACTTTGTTAGCCCTTTTTTGTTTCCTCAAACATTTGTTTCCTCAATTTTCTCCTAAACTTCCAGTAGTCATGCTCACTTTCAGATCATATCCTCTGTGGATATCCTCAAATATATCCATTTTTTCTAGAAATGTTACTAAAAATGCATTTTGGTGCACAAATTGTTAGTGTCAATTTTATTTTCAATTATGTCAAAAATTAATTGCCACAGCTGTGGCAATTCGACTAATTCGAGAACAACCCTCATTCGTTCTTAACTGTAATTTTTTACCATAAGAAATTACTGTTACTCATTCTTACCATAAATAAAATAGGGTTCTATACTACCTTTTCAAGACCATCAAATTTTTTAATATCCAGTTCTAATAATTTTAATTGTTTATTAATTCCCTCCCACTGCATAGGAGTAATATTAGTTATAATTTCATTTTGCTGATTATTTCCATTTTTTGCTTTTGGGTCAGGTTTATATTTACATGAATTTGTAATATTTTTTTCCAATTTTTCTAACCTTCCTTTATAATCTATTTTTACCATTTCTCGTTCTAAATTCTCAATTTTTATAATTTTAACATCCAAATCTCCAAATTTTTTGATTTCATTTTCTATTTTAGTTATTGTTCTTTTATTTTCATTTAATGTTTGTATGTCCTTTTCTAATTTTGTAAAATCAACTTTTCCAATTTGTAATCTAAATTTATTTTAACTTGATGATAAATTGAATCATTGAGTTAAATAGGGGTCTGTTCTATCTAAGAGAGGGCAAATACATAAATGCTGATGTACGTTTCCCAGAGGTGATGGGGTTAATGGAAATTGGTTGCCACTTGATCGGTTACAAGGCTTATCAAATATAAAGAGAATGAATGTAAATTTAACTGGAATAAACGTTAACTAAGCTTTTTGATTAACTCAGATTATTCCACTTTGGATTATATAAACAGATTTATGGGCGGGAGCTCTCTTAATTTTCTATGTTTTTCATTTTAGAGTAGAAATCGGACAATACCGACTATCGTCTGTATTTTTCATTGTTTAGCGGTATCCCGTATTAGTATGTATGTAAGACCGATAGGATTTTAAGGTTCTTTCTGTATTTCTCAGTATTATGGTACGACATAAATTCCGTTTCTGCCTTAGGGTCTAATAATTTTAATCAGATTTTATGATTCTCTCTAAAATAAATTTAAAAATCATTTTTTTACCTCAAGGAATTTAATTTTTTAATTTCTTCATTTAAATTTTTATTATTATTTTTGCTTTCTTCATTTATATTTGTTATCAAATTTTTTAATTTATCAATTTCATTCATTTTCGAAACATCTAGTTTCCTTTGTTTATTTAAATTAAATATTTCTTTTTCAATTTCTGGCAATTTAACATCTTCCAATCTCTCCAATTTTTTAACTTTTTCTTCCAAAATTTCAATATTTTTTATTTTATCATTAAAAACTAAATTTTCAATTGTTGGTTGTAATCTCTTAAAATTATTTTCAAAAATTTCCAAATTTCTTATTTTTTCTTCTAAATTCCCTAAACGATTTAATTTTTGTTCAATCATTTCAATTTTCTGTAAATACTCATTTTCATTATTTTCTAATATTTTTATTTTTTCCTCCATTTTTTTATAATTTTTCATATTCCATCCAAATGTCTCAATAAATTCTTTTTCAAATTTATTAAAACGTTCTTCCAACGTCTCCTTATTTTTTAAATTCCAATTTTTTTTATTTTGTTCCAATTCGAATAATTCTTTATTTTCTTCTATTTTATTATTTATTAAATCCATTTTTTCGTGTATTTCGTTTATTTTTGTTTCCAATAATTTATCTATTAGTTCCCGTTGTTCAATCATTTTTCTTTCAATTTGTTCTGTTTCGTTTTTATTTGTTAATTTATTTTGTAATTGCTGTAATTAATGTTATTTTTGTTTATGTTATTAGTTAATTATCCTTACTTATCCGTTAACCACCCACATTTCTACTTTTTCACTGAAAAAAGGTAAATCCTAGATCCGGCTCCAGCCGGCCGGCTCCGGAGGGAGACAATCCAGTACTTGCAATTCTTGGAAAATCTTTAACAAAGATTTCTGGAAAAATAGGAACCATCATTTATAACGAGAAAAAACCGCCAGAAGCACTGCCCTTTCCCTAAAATTTTTGTTTTGGTTACGGATATCCGAAGATTTTTGATTAACCGACAAACAGCTCTTGGCCATTTTTATCTTTTTTAGATGAACGACTTAATTATTTGTCAGGATTGCTTCTCACTAGAGGATTGCTCTACTGCAGTTTATGGGGGTTAAGTTAACTTTGCAACGCTGAAAATCGGTAAAAGTGATAGATTTGTGATACTGGTTAAACTGGAGTCCAAAATAAATATGTAAGAAATTATTATAGTAGTTGGTTTAATGGAGCTATGTATATTTATTCCCTCCAAAAATTTCCTATCAAAAATATTTTTACATTAATAAATTCTTTATGTTCTGTCAATTCTCTATACAATTCATTCTTTTCCTTATCAAATTCCTCAATTTTATATTCAATATTTTTTTGTTCATTACTTAAATAATCTACACCATTTTTGTTCGAGTAAATTATTTTTTCAATTTCGGCCATTTTTCTTTTATTATTTCCATCATTTAAAATTAATTCGTTATTTTTCATTTTTTCTTTATTTTCAATTAATTTTTGGATTTCTAACAAATCTTTTTCTAATTTTTTAAATTTATTTTGATTTGTATTATTTTCTTTTTTTATTTCTTCTTTTAATAAATTTACTTGTTTTGTACTTTCATTTAAATTATTTTGTGGGGGTAATTGTTGTTTTCCTTTTCTCATTTCTTGACTTAAACGACGCTTATTCTCTTTTGTTAGAATCTTAAAAAATAAATTTTTGGGTATGTTATGATCCTCAAGATTTGACAGGTAGATAATTATGGAAACCAGGAATGGTATGGGTTAAACAGAAGCCGATACCCGGTCATTTTTCGACCCGATACCTGATCCGAAGCAAATTTTTAAATCCGATCTAAAATCCGACCTGAGAATTTTTCTTTTCACAAACCCGATTCGAAATCTGACCCGACTTTTTTCTCAACCCGTCCCATCCGAAAACCTGTAACCCTGTCGACATAAAAATATAAATTGCCGATTTTGAGAATAGGGACGGCAAGAGGATGGGTTACGCTGCGGAAGGGATATCTTCCGCTTTTCATCTTCTGTATTTTTCTTTTCCACCATCTGCTTTTAAAATAAGAGAGAACCCATCCTGGCAAGACGGCCCACCCGGTTCCACTAATTTTTTTTATTAAATCTCTTAAACTCACTTCATTTTCTTTCATTTCTCTTTTAATTTGTTCAATTGTCCGTTTCATTGTCTCAACTTGATTATCATTATTATTATGCATTTGTTTTGATCGCATTTCCCTTCCAATTTCTTCAATTTTTTGGTTTTGAGTTTTTAAATTATTTTCTAACATCTTTTTTAATTTTTAAAATTTTATTATATAAAAATTATTTTTAAATTCTACCTCAATTTTTCTATTTCCATTTTCATTGTTGTTGGGTCCTCGATGATTATTTTGATTATTATTTTCAATTTTATTTCCAAAATTGCGTATTTGGCTTTTTAATTCATTTATTTCTCTCATATTTTTTTCTATTTTTGTATTAAAATCTCGGTCCCCATTCCTTATTTGTCCAATATTCCCCATAGAATGCTCAATTTTATTCATTTTTCTTTCCAAATTATTTATTTGTGCAGACAAATCTCCCCTATTTTCATTTTGGGAGGTTGAGGGAAATGTAGAGGGAAATGTATTAGAATTTCCTTCATCCATTCTACGCAAATCCTCTTCTATTTGCAAAGTTTTTTGCTAAATTTTTAATTAAAATAAAATTATTTTTTCCAATTTTTTACCTCTTGATCTTGCACAGTTTGACTCAAATTTTCAAATTTTTCTTCCAATTGCTCTATTTTATCTGTATTATCATTATTATTTATATCCCCACTATTTGACTCCAAAATTTCTACACGATTAGTTGTGTCCTCAACTTGTTGTTTAATGTTCTAAAAAGGGATTTTTTATATTCTCCAATTTATAAAAATTTTTTAAACTTAATTTAAAAATTTTATATTAGTATATACATATGTATTTTAATCTCATTAGGGATTTATTAGTGTTCAAAATTTTAAGCGGAAATTTTCCTTGACTATTTATTTTTCCAAAATTTCTATACCAAAATATAATAATCATTTTTATTTTATTTTAAGTCGGTCTGAAAAAAATTTCGTTTTATCTTAAATGGAAGGATTGCTTAGACCTTATAGCCATTCAAATTTAAAAAATTATTTAACTAGAGATATACACTACATATTAGTTTTATTTTATATTTAGATCTAATATTATTTTTAAGGTTTTTCTGTAAAATTTAACAAAAAAATTGTTTAAGTTTCAGAAATCTGACTATAATCAAAAACTGTTCGTTATCTATTATTTTAATTAAAAATCTATTCATCATATTATTTTAAAAATAATTTTTTAACCATTAAATAAATAAAAATATGTATTTATTAGTGATCGGTATTTTCAAAAATTCTGGATCTGGATTTAGGTTATTGACCTAGGCCAGATTCTTGATCTAAGAAAAATCCAGACTGGATCTAGATCCAGACCGATCTCTAGTATTTATTACCTCAACTTCATTATAAATATCAGTCAAATCTTGCTGATTATCATATTGTCCACTACCACCTCCCTGTTCTTGATTCACTGTCAATAAGTGAATACTAGCTTCAGCATCCCCCATTCTATCAATTAAAGCATTTATTTCCGTATCATGAAATGTTGCCAAATTTAAAAGTTCGGGCAAAGCTCTGTCTGGATGTCCATCTCGAATATCTTTAAGCAATCCTTTATAAGGACCTTTACCTCCTTTTAAATGGTCGTCAATTAAAAGGTTGGCATGTCTCGGGGGAGGTTTTAATTGGTGATGTAAATGATTATTTTGATTATTATTTATTTTTTTAGTTTTTGCATTGACAAAAATATTTGAAAATATTGAAATTAAAATAAAAAATAAATTAAATAAAAAACATTTCTTTTCCATTACATTTAAACATTAACCTTTTTAAATTATTTAAATTAAATTTAAAAATTAATAAAATATTTTTTAAAATTAGGAAATTTTTCTTAAGAAATTTACATTTCATTACCCAAAATCACGATGTTTAAAAAATTTTAATTTAATTGAAATAATATTTTTAAAATAATATTATGAAAGGCCTTATTTTTTCTCATATAATTTTTTATTTGCCCTTTACCTTGTGTCGGTGTCTAAATTAAAAGGAAATGGATTTTGAAATTTAAAAGATAAAAGAAAAATGTTAATAAATCAATTGGGAAATTTTTTGGACAAAAATCCGATTAACTCTATGCTTATTAGAAAGAATGGATAATGCCGATTTTTGGGTTCCTATTAGAAATGATTTTGAAATTGATTGTAGGGCATATTAAAATTCGGCGCGAGATGATAATCTTGCGGGATTTTTGCAATTTTTCTACTTCGAATCTCTATGAAAAATTCTGTGAGGTTTCAAAATTTTCGAATCAGAAATAAATCTTGAAACACAATTTGCCGAACATATTCCCTTAACTTCTAAAAAATATTATATACATAGTTTAACATTTTTGATAACAAATTGAATAATAATACCAGATTTGGTATTTATTTGGTAATTCAGACTTTTTCACGGTTCTGTATTTCAAGGATTTGGGGGGTTGTTGGTGTTTCAAGCTGTTTGATTTTACAATAGCTGGTATTTCAGCTTTGGTCACGATTATTGTATTATTAGATCATACCAACTAAATAAATTAAAAACGGTTATAAATGCCGTTAGAAATTTTTGTCTTTAAATAAAAAAAGAAAAATTTTTGAATATGTAAATATTTCCCAAAAATATAAAATACACGAATATACGATAAAATTAAATAATCAGCAACAGATTCTTTCAAATATTTGTGTAAATAATTTCCGTATTACCTCTAAGAGGACCATTCATTGCTATCAAAAAACCACGAAATTAGGCAAACGAAGGTCATTCTATTAGAGGGGGTCATTCTATTAGAGGAAATACGGTATGTACAATCTTTTTGGACAAAATGAACTTATACTTTTGTGAAGCAGTGTACAATGAAATGAGGTAATTTGTACATATCAGGTACACAACTTACGACTTCAAACGACATTCCGGGAATCCCCAAAAAATTTACTTTTTACAACTTTTTGGATTTTGACATTTTAAATAAATACATCGCGGAGGTAGAAACAAGTTTAAAATATTTTTAAATATCGCGGAAAATTGAATTTGTTTAACGAATTACTTCTTTTTTTAATTCATCCTGTTCCTTAACATATGTTGCAAATTGATTCTGGGGCAAATGATTCTCTGATTCTGGGACAGAATCTTCTTTCTCCAATTTATAGTCTTTTAAATTGCCAAATTTCATACGATTAGCATGTTGCTCAACTTGAGAATTATAACGCTGCATCTTAATATTTTCTTTAAAAGTTTCACCAAACTTCGCTTGATTCTTGAAGTAATTATTCTGTAATAAAGAAAAATTGTTTATTGGATTTCTTTGAAATTTTTTTCATTAATTTGTACTCCATTGAAATTTTGTTTTTATTGGGCTTTAATAAAAATGGAAATTTAATAAAGCCTATAAGGGGTCGAAAATAATTTTTAAACACGTTCAACCCTGGGTTCAGTCAGTTGATTTTCGTGTTTTGAGATCATAATAAAGGAATTGTTGTAGAACATAGTACATATTTTTACAGAAATTTTTGTAGATTTCGAACCACCCCTAATTTGGAAAATATCAAGTGACTGTATACTATTTTGGAGGTGATAAATACTTCATTTTTCGTTTAAATTTTATGTGGAATTGGATAAAAAAAAACTATTTAAATTGAAATTTGATACAAAAGGTCGCTAACCGAGTATTGTTGTAAAATTTGGGGGAATGTACTCTTTTGTGGAGCAGTGTATTCTCTTTGATTGGCGAAAGTTTCTGTTGGTTTTTGATTTAATTTTCCATTAATCTTTGCATATCCTAAAACTCCTACAAAAGCACCACCAGCCAACAATAGCTCTTTAGCAAAATCACTATTTTTAGTTTTTTGGTAAGCATTTCTAAGAGCTTGTAAAGACACGGTACGGGTATGTTTCAGAGAATTTGACATTTTTGTTAAAACTCCTAGAATTAAAATTTTTTAATTTAATTAAAAATTATAAACTTTTAGCGAATTGATTTGCTTCAATAAACATTTGATTATCAATATAGATAAACAAAAACAAAATGATGATATAAGATGTTTTAATTTTTTTCATAATAATTTTTTAATATCTAAAATTAAAAATAAAACTTTAAATTATTTAAATTAAACATTAAATTACCGTATTTTCTCTAAAATAGCCCCGGGGGTTATTTTTTTCGATCGACCTCTAGAGGATGGCTATTTTAAAGAGGGGGGTTATTTTAGAGAGGGGGGGGGGTTATTTTAGAGGAGGGGTGGTTATTTTAGAGAGGGGGAGGGTAATTTTAGAGGGGGGGGGTAATTTTAGTGGGGGGGGGGGTTATTTTAGAGGGGGGGTAATTTTAGGGGGGGGGGTAATTTTAGAGAAAATACGGTATTCATCTAAAATTTATTTAAATTAAAAATTAAATTAACAAATTATTTTATTTAAAAAATTTATATAATATTCAGTGATTGATTTGATAGAATTAAATTTTATAAGACGTCTATAATGGATTCTGTATAGCCTTTATCGCATGATTATTCTCTTTCTCTAAACTTGCACTCTATTAGAGAGCTACGTGGAAGAATTGATTTATTGAAAAAAATTTAAGAGGAAAATTTGAAAAAAAATTTTTTTAATTTGTTATAAAAACTTTAAGTTTGGATAAAATTCCTAGCCAATTTATGGAATTATTTATTTGGTATTTTTGTATTCGCAAGAACATAAGTTGGAAAATCCGAGACAAAAAGTTGCATATTTGTTGGTAATTGTAGTGTCCTAAGTTGCGGTGTGCTTTTAAGATTTGCGGAATAACATAGCTAAAAATAGGCAAGACTAATCAAGGACAGGCAAGAATTATCGCTATACTAGATCCAAGTACCTGAAATAACTCAGCCCGGTCATAGCAAATAGCTAAGACTTTAGTTAAGAATTTTCGTCAGCAAAATCTTTGTTCTGACATTAATATACTTTAATTAATTTATTTAAATATACAAAACTACATAATAATTTACATTAATTACTGTATTATAAATAATTATCATTTAATATGTATTAGACTTTATAATATTTCTTCTTTATTTTTCCAATTTTAACTTCATTCTTCAAACTTTGTTTAAAATTTGATAACTGAACGTTTAAAATTTCGTTAATATTAAATTGAGTATTTAATTTTATTAAGTAAATCGCAAGGTAAAGAATTACACTTATTGTAATTGAAAAAATAAGTACAAATGTCCGTATTTAAGTAAATTGTTCATTGAATCAAAATTTAAAAATTTATGCGAACTTCAAGGGAATTGTCAAACGCGTTCAGATTAGGCTGTTTGGCCAGAAAGGACGACAGCCTCCCTCAATAATTTATACCGAACCGATATAAAAATCTGCATGCCTTGACAACCCAATTCTGAATGAGATCAACTCATATATGTATGGGTCAATTTCATATAGGTCTGACAGTTCTTATAATTTTCGTCATTAATGTAATATTTGTTCAATTCTCTAACAAATAAACATTATAACAGACATGACTTAAAGTATAAAATTTTTATAAAAAAATTTTTTACCGATTGGTGACAGAACGCAACATTTTAGCCAATTTATTAGCAATTTTATATCCTTTTTTAAGATAATTTTTCTTTTTAAATTCATCATTATTTTTATTATTTTTGACTTTATTATTTATAATTTTATTAAAAACTTCTTCAGTAAAAAAGTCCTTATAAATATTTAAATAATCATTTAATACCCCAATTCTTTCACTTTCAATAATTTCGTCAAAATCGTTTAAATTCTGTTTTGGCTCTTTTTCAATAAACCAATTTATTAATAAAACTTTTAAATGAGACTGTAGCCACTCAATTATTTTTACCTAATTAAATTTCAATTTTTATTAAAATATTTATTGTAAGGCTTTTAAGTTTCCTCCTAGCCTAACAGTTAAAACAAAAAATTCTGAGCGGAGATTTTTGGTACACTTATGTTATCCGCCCCCATTTTCCTTTTTCCTAATTTAATCGTCTATAACCCTCGATAAGCTCTATTCTTTTCCCTGCTAGGTGGATCAAGTCTGATCACTCATTTAAAAGTTACAATTCGATAAGTGCAAAAAATCAGTGTTTTTCATACTTTTTAATGAGTGATCAGATTTGATCCTTCTACTTAAAAAAAGATAGCGCTTATCAAGGGCTTTCGAATGATATAAGATTCATTCGGAGTTTATTAAGCATCAAAAAGTTATAACAATCAAATTAGGAAAAAAAGGAAATGCGGACGGATAACACAAGAGATTTTGAAACACGGCAAAATTTGTCTGGGATTTGCTGGCCGAAAGCTTACATCATTATTGGGTCCCTAATTTTTTAAACATTTATTTTAAACCTCTTCTTCACGTTTCCCTAATTGTACCCAAATAAAAGTTCCCGGAATTCTTCCATTATTTAAAATTTGAAGCAAATTTGTAAACATCCAAACAATAAATAAAAGTTTTCGAGAATATTTTCTTATCGAAATAATATTCGAACGTTGATGGGAATCAAAATCTTGGGAAATTCTCTCTCCATTTATTTCATCATCCAATTTTAATTTTTTCTGAAAAATATCTTTCATTGCTTTAACGAGTTTTGCAACATTTTCTAAAACTTTCTTTCGTTGAGAATTAAGACATTCATCTCTTTGACATCTCGAAAATATTGTTGCTTCTCGTACAAACAAATCTGCGTCTTTCTTTTCTGAAATATAAAGTGTGTAACAGTTCTAAGGGTACCAACATTTTAGATCATATCTCGAGTTCTTTATGAATTGGTCTGAATGTTAATAAGTTATAAAAAACAGCATTCCGTTGATTTTCGGTGTTGGAGATCTCGCTGATAGATTGATGGTAAAACTTCGTTTCTTTTGTATTTTCTATTGATATCAATAAATATGTTCAAGGAATTTTTATGGATTTTTTCTATTGATACAAAACATTTTTTCGGAGGTTCCTTTATATTAATGTTACACTAAATTTTTTTGAAAAATTTTATAAAAAATTTCAACCTCAATAAATTAGAGCCTAAATTTGTATATTATATCTCAATACTGTTTTTTTAGCTTTTCTAATATTCAGAGCAATTCATAAAGAACTCGAGATAAGATCTAAAATGTTGGTACCGTTATAACTATGTTATACATTTTATAACATATTTTATTATATTCAGATCATGTGTTCCGAATTTTAAAGTGATTTTGAAACTAGATACCGCCCAAATTTAAGTCTCAACGTTTGCCTAAAATTTTATTGGATGCTTGTTGAGCAGTAATCATTAATCGTCCGACTTGAGTTAGTCTTAAACAAGTATGTATGTTAAAGATAAACCTGTCCTGAGTCGAATCTCGTTAACTCAACACCTTCGTGGCCAAATTAGGCTGATATATGAATGAAAGTGTGGTTTGATCGCATATCATTTTATCGAGATTCGACTATATTTCAGATAATGATTCGAATTCAGCTGCTCTATAAATGATTATGTCTAAAATTATAAGAAAATTAATTCTGTTCCCGATTGTAAAATAAACAAATTATGGAGATCTGAACACATTATAAAATATTTTAATTTTTGCTTTTATTTTAAATTTTATAAATAATTATATTACTTAAACATCCTTCAATTTTCAGTCTATCAGCAGCAATTCCACCAATACTTCTAAATAGAATCGAATAATTATTCAACCCTTCATCTATCTCCAATTTTTTAAATTTTATCCACTCTTCTGTACAAAAATAACATTCAATATCATTATTGCCGATAACTTCTTCCCCTTTTAAACACAAATTTAATCCGCTAATAAAAATAATATAATCAAAAAGAAATTCAGATTCCGTTTGTGAAGGTGTTAATTCTACAAAAAAGAATTTTTATTTATGTCAGAATTTAATAAAATTGAAGTAATACACTAAATCAAAAAATTATTTAGTATAAACTCTTAATTAAAGTTTGATTTTTTTTTAAATTTAATTGGCCATTGGGCGAGGGAATTGCCCACCGATGCCTCCAATGTTTAAGACACTCGAGACTCTCTCTCGACTCGAGACAAGAAGACACTCGAGACACTAGATTTTTAATAATAAAACTAATTTTTTCTTGGTTTTATATATTTGTTTAAGAGCAATATGGCCAGGTTATCTGCGCTATTATTTAGCTTGTTTGTATAATTTGTTTATTCAGGAGGTTATTTTCTTTTGTTTTACCAATATTTGGATGATATAAAGGAAGGAAACAAAATGATGATGTTACGACCCGAGGTGTCCGAGATTTAACTAATGCGACGAGCACAATAATAACACTTTATCACAAAGAGAAATAAACAATAAGTGGGCGAAGGGAATGGGACAGACGAAGGAGATCAGTGACTAGCCCCGCTAGTATGATCCGAATAGACTGACGTTTTCTCTGGCTTTTATAGTAAACACTTTAAGGGCTGACGCCCATACACAACACCTCCCCCCTTAAAAAAAGGTTCGGCTTTCACTTAAAGCCGAAGCTTTACAACTTTTAACATTCACTATAGCTTCCATGCTATCAATACAATTAACACTAAGCCAGAGCGTCTAGTCTCTCACTAACACTCAACTCACAACAAAATACAAAAAATGTGGGATGACAAAAGGGCAAAAAGAAAAACAACAAATTAAAATTACAATATAACATTTACAAAAATCACAAAATTTGTCATCTATTCCACATTTTATTTTTCTTCTGGCAGCGGACATCTACAGTGCATACAGCAGCTCCCATCAAGGCAATCACACTGTTGATCATCACACTGCTTGTCCATAAGCATTTCACTTTTATTTTTCACTTTTCTTCACTATTTTATTTTCTTCACTTTTTATTTCACTTCTATTTTTTTTTACACTTTCTATTGCGGCACTAATTTCACTTTTTTTTAACACTGTGCCCAATAATAAAATTTCACTGAATTGCATCACTATCACTATTTCACGACTTAAATGAAGTCAAACACCACAACACTAACATTTAGTCAGTGTGCAGTTCGGTGCCGTTTTCCCGTGTACTTTTAGGATGGCTCGTGGTTGAATACTAACACTTGAATACTACTACTAACTAACCACTCAAAGGATGCCTGTTACATCCTGCCTCTGTCAAAGACTCAGGTACCGCAACACTTCACTGAACTTACACTATGTGTAGTCTGGGTTGCTTCACTCACTTGCGCTGGAATACTTCAATCACTAATAATATTCACTCCTCAGCGCCTTGACTCACTTCAATTCACTACTATCACATTTCAAAGCTCATTATTTGGTCTTACTCACCCTTAGGCTGCCAAACTTCGCTTTATCCACTATCAACTCAAAGCTCATTATTTGGTCTTACTCACCCTTAGGCTGCCAAACTTCGCTTTATTCACTAACAATTCACTTCATTATTTGGTCTTACCCACCTTTTAGGCTGCCAAATTTTTTCACTCTTTTTACACTTTTCCTTTTTAAAATCCGACCATTGGCACTCGCCTGAGTCCTTTATTGGCCACTACTAACTCCAAAGGTCCATGCGCACTAACAAACAATTCACTCATTTCACTCCGACTCATGCCGATCACTAATTACGACGTCTGTCCACTCACAATCAAAACAATCACTTTCACTAATTGCCAAAGCAATTCACTACACTTCGCCACACTTCACTTTTTGTCGACCGCGCCATTGTTACGACCCGAGGTGTCCGAGATTTAACTAATGCGACGAGCACAATAATAACACTTTATCACAAAGAGAAATAAACAATAAGTGGGCGAAGGGAATGGGACAGACGAAGGAGATCAGTGACTAGCCCCGCTAGTATGATCCGAATAGACTGACGTTTTCTCTGGCTTTTATAGTAAACACTTTAAGGGCTGACGCCCATACACAACAGATGAGACCAACAAATTCGAAAAAAATTATATAATTCTAACAGAATTTTCAAATATAAACAAATTCTGATGTAAATTATACCGTTAAAATTAAATTTATAAATTTCAAAAATTATTTTATTTTACCTTCACTAATTGGAAACACAGAACAAGAAGCAAAAATAATTTGTGTAAATAAAAAAATTAAAATCATTTTTATAAAAATAATTAATTAAAATTAATTTTTGTTTAAATAAAAATATTTATTTAATTTTTTATTATGAAATTAATAGGTATTAGGTAATGCTTGTCTATACATTTATTTATTTTGTCTGTAAAGGACATGAGAGAGTATATTTAAAAATTTATTTCGGCATATGATGAAAGGCAAGAAAAAATAGATAAAATTGATTTTGGAAAATTTTTTATATACAGGGTGTTAAGAAATTATAACCCCCCCCCCCTTGAATTTTTTGAGCTTCTCTATGTTCCCATTGTCGGGTTGTTCTGAAATTTTTGTAGTAGTGTTGTATTTTGTAATATATTAAATAATATTTACAAAAACATTTTTAAAAATTTCTGATCTCAAACTTATTTTTGGATGTTTTTCGATAAAATTAGTGTTAATAAATTATGTACATATGTACGTATAACCCCCCCCCCCTTTATTAAAATTTCTGTTTAACAGTCAAAAAATAGCAAAAATTTTTCTGAACGTATCTACCAATATAGATAAGTAGGGATGGGATTTATATGGATTTCCATATTTTTTTCCTGAACTCGTTGGGTTCTGAAACGTCCAAAAAACATGTTTTTAGCATATGGTGATAAGGCCGTTTTCGAGTTATCAATCCATATTTTCCATATTTTTCCATATTTAGGCGTTCCGTCCATATTTCCATATTTTATCAATATTTCGCCATTTTTTGTAAAATTTTGCCAAAAATTGGTTAAAATTTTCAAATTTATGAAATTTTTGGTCAAAAATTTTTATAAAAAAATTTTTTTAAAAAATTTTTTCGAAAAATTTTTGAAAAATTTTTTTAAAAATATTTTGACAAAAATTTTTAAAAAAAATTTCGACTCAAATATTATCCAAAATATTTTTATAAACAAAATAATCACTATTAATTGGTTTATTTGTAATAATTTGCATTAAAATTAACTTAATTAACATTTTCTGCTTAAAAATTAAACTTTTTCCGTTAAAAATGTTCAGTTTTCGGCCCATATTTGATCCATATTTTTGATTTTAGTCCATATTTCAGTCCATATTTTTCGATTGATAGTCCATATAAATCCCATCCCTATAGATAAGAAATACAAAAGAAATGAAATAGCTAATTTAAATTATATTAATAAATTTTTAATAAATAGATTCTGTTATATAAAAATTATTTTTATAAGTTTTTGTGCCAAATAAAACTTGTTAATAAAATTTTTTTATAAATTCAGCAAACGTTTAAATTATTACATGTCAAGAATCATATGATTAATGTCTATTAGTAAGTAAATAGTAAAAGCATAATCAACATGAGGACATCATGGAGGAAAATCCTAAGGCAATGGTTTATGTATTAGGGTCAAGCCGACAAGTGTCCTAAACATTTCTTGTCACACTCTAGATCTCTCAATGCTCCTCAAACTTATACCCGATATCTACCAACTTATTGGGAGATGATATCGGGGTCTCCCAAACTCATTCCCCGATATCGCCGTTAATCTTTGATATCTCTTATATCCAAATTATAAATTTCAAAAATGTATTTATAATTCTGCAGTCAGCACTGGCTCCATAATAATTCACAACACGAACTGAAATTTTGAGAATGATGTTTGTGAATAAAAATTTATTTTCTTCCGCTTTTTTTTTTGCTTTTTAAAATTCAAAATTCTCTCAGCCCTGGTAACATTTAATTTTTTTAAAATTTAATTTTAGTTACAAGAAATGTTAAATAATAATTTCAATTGTCACGAATAAGTTGGAAATAATGTGTCTAGTTTGTACAAACTTTCCAAAATTATTTTATTATAAACAAAGGAATTTTTTATAAATTTATTTTTATAAATTTATATTATTTCCTTGTTTTATAATTTTTTTATAAGCAATTACTAGAAAAGAGTTAAATTCAAAAATGGCTGAAAAATTTTTTACTGCTTCAGTTTTATAAAATATTAAAATATTTTCTAGTAGAGACAAATTTCAAAAATGAACACAACATGGGTATTTAATTTTTTCAACACACTTTCACAATCCATAATTCCACCAAATGTCTTTGCTCTATTAATTGTCATACCTTCAGCCACTCTTTACATTACAGAATTAGGAGTCATTTTTCGTTTCAAGAAAACTTTTAAATCTTCATTTTTTAAATTATTTGCTGCTAGAACAATATCGGTAATTTAATAATTATTAAACAATACTGGGTATTAGGTATTTTATGGATGTGAATCCGCTCCGTTAATCAGGGTAAATATTGAAGGTTAATTGTTAAGAAGACAGATTTCTTCCATTTTTTCTTTATCTTTCATCTACACTTTGTTTAAAAGTTTTCATCATTAGGAGTAAAAAATTGTCATCATTAAAAACATGCCAAACGCCAAAAATCAGAAAAAATTGATGCCAAACTCAATGATGCTCAGCATTATCGCTATGGATTTTTTGTGAAGCAGACTTAGATTCAAAAAATCTTAGCGCCGCTTAAGTTTGGTTAGGAGTTTCCTCTTGGACCATACTCATTAATGACACCAGAGCTCTCTCCAAACACTCTTGCTAAGATTAAAAATACATAATGCGGCTCACATTTATGCTTGGGGTAGCCAAATATCCGAATTTTCGCTGCAATTAGGCGTTTTTTTAGTTAGAGCTTTTCGGAGCAGCTCCATGCTGGCTAAGGGTTTGGAGGAATATAACGAGGTTAAGGCTTCATAGAAGGATTTGACGACATTGAGGAGACAAAATTAGATTTTGGAAGGCCCTTAGGCAAGATTTCTTTATTTTCTAGCGCTGTCATCGAAAAATTAAAGAAAAAAATCTCAGAAATCGAGATTTAAACAATTCTAAATGTTACTCAATTTTTTACATCTTTCTTCAGAGTATTTTGGGCTTGATTGGTCATTGTTTGTATATACGTTTTGGATGTGTTGGTTTTTTCCTTTCAATTTATCTAAAATTACCAGCTGTATATTTGTGTATTTTTAAATTCATGAACAATCATTTCTACTATGTGGAAAGCATGTCTACTGCAATCCTTCTTTTAAATAGATTAACAGCCCTTTTATGGCCATTAAAATATGAAAAGGTCCATTTGTTATTCAAAATTTTAATTAATTTTAAAATTCAGATTTGGAATAAATTATGGTATTGGGCAATTATTCTTGCTTATCTACTTCCACTAACATTAAGTTGGCATATTTTATTTTCAGAAATTGTTATCTGGGTTCATAATAATGAGACTTTTAGTTTGTATACAAAAATGAAGCCTGTTGTAATTTTGTTTTTTGAAAAATTTGAATTTTTAGAAATTTATAGGAGCCAAAGGACACTTTAACGACTTCATGGTTTTCCGTCCTATTCACAATTATCTGTCTATTAATTAATATTGCATGCCTTTATGTTTATAAAAAGACAAAAATTGTCAGTTCTCAGCAAACTCAAAGCAAGCAAAAGACCGAGACACTTTTGACAATTTACTCACTTTTAACCTTTTTTGGGCAACTTTTATTTACCTTTTATACGGTAAACTGGAAATACATTGGATCTAGTTTGGGATATGCGTTCCTTGAGCCTTTATGCGTCCCATGAACTTTTATGAGTCCCAAAATTATTAGAAACGTTGATGGGACATCATGGGACGCATGAACGCTCATGGGATGCATGTCCTAAACTAGAGCCAATACTTTCGTAGAATTTTTGGAAAATTACAATTTTAGATAATTCTCTACATTTCATCCTCCCCACTTCAAAAATTTATTAATCCAGATTTGGCTGAACTAATTTTCTTATCAATTTATAATCAGTATTCTTGGGTCAACGATATTAGTACAATTGCCATTCCTGCATTTTTGCTTCTTTGGGCATCTGAAATTATGCGTTCCCGTATTTATTCATTAATTCGAATAATTTGTTTTTTACCTAAAAATACTAATAATAATGCTGTTATGGTTATACCTATACAGGAGCGACGGAACTTTTTTCGACAACCGGAAGGAATGTTAAGCACGAGAGAAAAATAATAGATAGGAACAATTAATTTTTTTCAATTCATCGAGAAATATTTGTTTATTGTACATACATATTTTTTATTAAATTGTCAATCTGAAAATTTCTATTCAAAAAATTCTGATACCTAATTTAGTTTGAGGCAAGGATAGCGCGATTGCAAGGATACTGCGGTATGATAACTTTTAATTGACAAGAAACTTTCGAATAATTAAACTTTTCTTCCTTAAAAGAAATTAACCTTTTAATGGACACCCACGTAACAGAATTCTTTAATGTACCTATGAAAATTTATAAAAATCCCTTATAAAAATTACCAGCTTGACACAAAAATTTATTTATTTTACTTTAATTGTGAATACAATTAGTGCCTTTGACATAATTTAAATTTACTTTAAATTGTGGGAAATTAAAAGTAAATTAAATTTACTTTTAATTGTGGGAAAAATTAATTATTAATTTCAATTGTCATGTATAAGTTGAAATTATGTATGTATTTTATACTAACTATATTACAGAATTGTTTTTTAGTATAAATACCGTATTTATTCTAATAGAACGGCCGACAGGCTATTTTTCAATACCCCTAAAAGGGCCATTCAATTGGAGGGGCCATTCTAATAAAAAGGCCATGCTATTAGAATGAATACGGTAAATGTCGTCAGTGCCGACGCAGAAGACCCACAGACAAAAAACCCAAAACCTTTTTCTTATTTTTATTCTATTGTGCTTTCATATTGGCTACCTACATATGGTCTTTTTTTTTGGGGGGGGGGGGGTTTATTGCTGCGGAGTTTATAAAATTTTTCCCAAAATGTCCAACTTCTGTTGTATTAGGATACAATTGAAGTAATTTTATGGATTTTACTTACTCATACCTCTAAAAAGGATTTAAAAGGTGGCAGAAGTTTGGACACTTTTTTAAATACAATACTGAAAACTAAAAGTGTAAAATATAAACGTAAACAGTTCGTGAGAAATCTGCTCCAAAAACTCTTATATTATTTAAAAGTTTCACGCAATTTATTTATTGTACTTTAATTGTGAATATTAATGTTGTCAACATTAAATTCACGCAAACATATTATTTAATTTTATAAAACTTTATTTTAATTCTAGAAAATGTTAATTATTAATTTTAATTGGCTTGAATAAATACATAGACAATTATTGTTTCAGTCGAATTTTTTAAAATTAATTTTTATAAATAAAAGGCAATATTTGACAATTGCATTATTTTTCATTTAATTTGTAACGAATTGTGATGTCGCATTTTAAAAACGGAAAGCGTGGGCAAACGGGGACGGGATAGAACCCTACTTAATATTTATAAGTTCGGTATACAAAACAGACGCCAAATTGGTCAATTTATATGTCATTCGAAAGGGCTCGCCGAGCTGACGAGGAACCTTTCGAGCTATCACCAAAAAATTTTAAATAGACGTGTAGAGCATGGTCGATAACCTATTGCCAATTTTTGGTTTTTCTTCTCCTGTAGAAAACTGAGCAATCGTTAATGTCACGCCGACAACAATAGACAATTTGAGCTTCTTAATCTCGGCTCGGACTCGAGCAACTGTGCCGATTTTGGTGTCATTCGACTTAGGTCGACGAGCTCTTTCAAATGACATATAATTTGACTAATTTGGGGTCTTTGTTGTATACCAAATATTTTCATTTAGAAGTACAGATAAAATTAAAAAATGAACACAACAGGGGTATACAATTTTTTCAACACACTTTCACAATCCGTAATTCCACCAAATATTTTTGCTCTATTAATTGTCATACCTTCAGTCACTCTTTACATTACAGAATTAGGAGTGATTTTTCGATTCAAGAAAACTTTTAAATCTTCATTTTTTAAATTATTTGCTGCTAGAACAATATCGGTAATTGAATAATTATTAAACAATACTGGGTATCAGATGTATCTTGGGGCCAAATCCGACTTTTTATTCAGACTTTTAGCGACGTTGCTGGAATTACCATTTTTTAACACCGCTAGGGACTATTAATGGGAGCTCTAGCATTATCTCGGCCGTATTTGACGTTTTGTGAGACATTGAGTTGAAATTTTGATCCGGCCCGTTCCATTTCAAAATCCTCTTTAGTCTGTTCGTAGCTAACTCTAGGAACCATAACCCAATAATACTACTCGATTTTTTACAACTTTCTTCAGAATATTTTGGGATTGCTTGGTCAATTTTTGTATATACGTTTTGGACGTGTTGGTTTTTTCCTTTCAATTTATATAATATTACCTGTTGTGTACTTGGATATTTTTAATTTTATAAACAATCATTTCTATTTTGTGGAAGGCATGTTAACTGCAATCCTTCTTTTAAATAGACTGACTGCTCTTTTGTGGCCATTAAAATATGAAAAGGTCCATCTTAAGTATAATTTTAAATAAGGTATAATTTCGGAATACTGAACAGAAAGCAAATAAGTCAAATTATATTTCATTCGAAAGAGCTCGTCGAGTTGAGTCGACTGGTGAAAAAATTTTCGAGCGGACTCATACATAGGCTGAGATAGAGGTCCCCGAAAATCCAAAAAGCATAGGGGGGACAAAGCTGTTTTTGGCGGTGAAAAATTTGAATATGCAAATTATACCTCATTCGAAAGAGCTCGACGTGCTGAGTCGAATGACACCAAAATCACCTAAAGCTGTTTTCATTTGACAAAGTTATGACCGTTTGTTTTTGTCCCTTCCAACGGGTCTTCACGGAAAAAAGTTTTTGCCGCTGCGGAGAAAGCCGAGATGTCGAGCGGAACGACGGCGCCGCTTCGCTACGGTCGCCGCGAGCGAAGCGAGCACGACCATAGCAAAGCACGGCCATCGTGTAGCGAAGACCATGCCCGGCCTACCCTCCGTAGCAGCACAAAAACAGTTTTTACTGCGAAGATTCTGTTGGTCATAATTTTGTTAAAAATCATCCAACCGAGCTGATTTTGGTGTCATTCGACTCAGCTCATCGAGCCCTTTCGAATGAGTTATAAAGCATATTCAAATTTTTTGATTCCAAAAAATTTTCAAATTTCGGGGGTCTGTAACTCGGCCATATGAAGTCAGAGTTCGTTGATTTTGGTGTCATTCGACTCAGCTCGAAGAGCTTTTTCAAAAGAGCTATTATTTGCATATTCGAATTTTTCACCCCTAAAAACTGCTTGGTCCCCCCTATGGTTTTTCGATTTTCGGGGGTCTATATCTCAGCCCCTTTATGAGTCCGCACGAAAATTTTTTCACCATTCGACTCAACTCGACGAGCTCTTTTGAAAGACATATGTTTTGCCTCATTTGCTTTCCGAAATTTTTTTTAAATAATTTTAAAATTCAGATTTGGGGTAAATTATGGTACTGGGCAATTATTATTGCTTATCTACTTCCACTAACATTAAGTTGGCATATTTTGATTTCAGAAATAGTAATTTGGGCGCATGATGATAATACAACTTTTACTTTGTATACAGTAATGAAGCCTGATGTAATATTTTGAGTTTTTATCATTTTTCAACAAATTTTTCTTATATAAAGGATACAAATGACGTATTAATTGGTTCGTGGTTTTGTATCTTTTTCACAATTATCTGTTTACTAATAAATCTTGCATGTCTTTTTACCTATAAAAGGACAAAAATTGCCAGTTTACAGCAAACTGAAAGTAAGCAAAAAATGGAAATGCGATTGACAATTTACTCGCTTTGGACTTTCTTTGGACAACTTTTATATGCTTTTTATACAGTAAATTGGGAATAATTCATGTAGTTAAACTATAATTTCAGATAATTCTCTACATTTCATCCTCACAACTTCAAAAATTTGTTGATCCAGATTTGGCAGAACTAATTTTCTTGACAGTTTTTAATCAGTATTCTTGGGTTAACGATATTAGTATAATTGCCATTCCTGCATTTTTGCTTCTTTGGGCATCTGAAATGATGCGTTCCCGTATTTATTCATTAATTCGAATAATTTGTTTTTTGCCTAAAAATACTAATAATAATGCTGTTATGGTTATACCTAAGTAAACAAGCTTTTATTTCTTGTACCTATGTATTACACAAAAGCAAACTAAATAAACTTTTAATTCTTTCAATATTTTTTTTTTGTTTTTTCATTTTATATGTATATCATAGAGAAGTCGACTCTATCTTATTACCCTTTAAAAAAAATTTTTTTAAATTAATCTCTTCTATTAAATATAGTGGGTAATTATTGTTTCGACCTCTTCTGGAGGGTGTAATTATTCGAGAGGAGGTGCTAAATTTGGGGTATATCTCAATAAATCGAGGAGGGAATCTATTTATTTTTTGATATTGTTTAATAAGCTGTTTCAATAATTAAAATTGATAACGATTTTTTCAAAATATTTCAAGATTTGTGTAAAAAATGAGGGGGTAATTATTAAAGAGGGTAATTATTTGAAAGAGGGTAATTATTCGAGCATATACGGTATGTGTAATTAATTTGCTTAAAATCAATCCAATTTCCAAAAAAAATTTAAAAATATTTGAAGCTTGTTTTCGCTGTCATCACAAATCTAATATATTTTATTATTTTATTTCAGAGTCTTAAC